TTTGATTCTCCCATAGCTAAAGGCTGGGCAGCTTTACTGTGAACTTCACTCATAAGCAAATGCCTGCTGCTGTCTGATAGCTGATGTAAAAAGTGGTTGGTGACTAGAAGGACAACCATATTACTTGCAACAAATTTGAAATTTAACGTTGAAAGGGTTTATATAAATTTAGCACAAACATCCAACAAAACTACTACCAGACGCAATTGCCCTATATTATTTGAAACCATTAATAGAACCAAAAGATCGTATTCAGAGCGTAAACTTGAAAAAACAAATATGGGTATGAACATTGGAAACTTGCAATGTTCAACTTTGTGTACAATATCCCTGAATGGAAAAAGGAAAAGATACAAAAAAGAATAGTGAATTGAGTTCTGGACCTGTACAGAAACACTACAAGAAGAGGATGGCTTTGCTAGCATCTCTCATATTCTCAGCCTACTCCAGTGGTTTAGCTAGTCCCAGCCTCCATGTTGGTTGCTTGACTAGCTTGACTAGCTTGAGCTTCTACTCTATCAGTCTCCCTTGCTGCATCATATGAAGCATGCAGTGCGACGAATATATAGTAGACGAGCAAAACTAACGTCCAAATTGCGAATCTTATGAATGAAGGTACATCAATAGAACCCAAGATGAAAACATTGAATGCAATGCTAGCTGATGGCAACCAAGGAACCAATGGCACCCCCCACAGTTTAGGTTTCTTTGCTTGTTTGAGGGTCAATTGCAAGCCTAAAGTGGCAGCAAACCAAATTACGCCTGTCACGACGTAGCCAATCCAACCCTGGCTAAGCACCCAATAAACAGCAGTAGCAATCGATGATCCTACGATTAATGTCAAGAATACAATGAGCTTGTTTCTGTCAGAAGTTGATGTTTCACCAGTAACGTAGTATCGTCTTACAATCAGTGCTAAGGAAACAAGGGAAAAGATGAACAGGGTTGATATAGACAGAAGGTTTGCCAGGACATCAAGGCTTGTGAAGAGGGCAACAAGGGAGTTTGCAACGGTCATAATAACCGTGGCATTCACAGGTGTGCCAGTTTTCGGGTGGATGGATGCCAGGATTGGTGGTGCCATGTGGGTGCGTCCAATGTGAGTGAAATACCGAGCTTGAGCGATGAGGTTGGCTAGCAGGACTGTTGTCATGCCTTTAATTGCTCCCAGAGCAACAATGTACTTTGCCCAATTCATACCTGCAGCTTGAAAGGCCATGGTGAATGAGGCATCAGCATCAATTTGGCTGTATGGCTGCATCAGGCACAACGTAGCTGAGAGGACGCAATAAGTTGCTATGGTAACCAACATTGAGCCAATCAGCCCAATTGGGATATCTCTACCAGGGTTTTTAATCTCCTCCCCCAAGGTTGCCACACCATCAAATCCTACATAAGCAAAGAAGAGAACAGCTGAAGCTTTCAAGACACCGCGGAAGCCAAATGGTAAAAAGTTTGTGGTGAAATTAGCAGGGTTGGCCTTGGTCATGCCGGTGATGAAGATGAAAACCAAAACCACCAGATGGACGATAGTTGTAACCGAATTGAATCTAGACGAGGCCTTAATGCTCAAGGCTGCACCAATGCAAACCAAAATGGAGATAAAGACGGCGATCGGGTCTAAATGGTTGAAGTTGTCGGCAAGGGCTGGCACGTTGATTCGAAAATCGTTGGGATTGTGATTGCACAATGTAGCAAAGTATGAGGTCCATGACCTAGCCACACTAGCACCTGCTACTACATACTCAAAAAGGATGTTTCCAGCAGCAATATAGGCCACAAAATCACCAAGTTCTACTCTAAGATAGGAAAATGAGCCTCCAGCCACAGGGAGTTCCACTGAGAACTCAGTGTAGCACAGCACTGATAGTAGTGCAGAAACACCTGATATGAAATAAGAGATTACCACTGCAGGGCCAGCATCGTTCCTAGCTGCCTGACCGGTTAGCACGAAAATTCCTGCCCCCATGACTGCTCCAATGCCGAACCAAATGAGATCCCACCAATTGAGGGTTTTCTTCATCTGATTGTCGCTACGTGCACGCATTTGTTCAAGCTCCTGGTGGTCCATGGACCGTGCCAGGATACGGTCTGTAAGCCTTGTTTTTGTGTTGGCCAGTGCATGAACATAGTTTCCCCAGCTCTTGAATGACTCCTCTGGCAAAAAATCTTCCTTGCTGCAAAAGCAACTTCTTTTCTTGATCCCATTGCCCTGTCCACCACCAGCAGCTTCAATGCCAGTCACCATTTTTGTTGCCTAGCAACTAAATTGATTTGTAATAACATTAGACAAAAAGATTAATGTAAATAGAACTTAGAAGAATGTATTCTCTTCAGTGGCAGTCACCATTTTTGCTGCCCTCAAACTGAATTGAGTGTAATAACAATTAGATAAAAAGATTAATATAAATAGAACTCAGAACTTAGAAGAATGTTTCCTTCCAAAAAGGTATGTATATATGCAATATATTATTGATCAATTAATTATCTTTAAAGACAAATAAAAAGGCTAAAACATTGGAATGGATATGTGCATCATTTTTGGTTCCAGGGTTAATTCCCACCATAACAAAGAGATATCTTTGGGTGAACAACGGATCCTTCCTAAGATAACAAATAAGATCTCAAATGCTATAATAGAATCAGTCAACTAACAAGATTCAATCCTCATTAACCGTTAACTGTTAACCGTTTAAGCCAAAAGTAAGAATTAAAATGTTGGAATTAGATTCTAATAGTTATCCAAACGAAAATTGGAATTAGAATCATTTGAAATAAACATTCCGATCTTTTCTGGCTTCGATTTGAAATGATGATATATACAAATGAATCATTTGAAATAAGCATTCCAAATTGTATGTCTTTTTAGTTTCCTCCAATATTTTATCTTCTCTGTCTTTTCCGTAATTATTTTGGGATAATATTAAGTTTGTTGAAACATGAAATCTCACCCATCTTTGGACTTGATTTGTCAAGATATATATAACATGTGAATAATCATGCCCCAAACACTCACACAAATATGCCCTACACCCACCATTATCATCCTCATGACATTTTCTACATATTTTTGTATTAAAAAAAAAAAACTGTTTTAGATGAGGGAATTGTTGTTGAATTAGCTCTAATCGTTGAAACTGTACAATGGTTTACAAATTTAACACCCCAATTTCTTCTTACTATGTTTTAAAATAGAAAATTAATTAATTGGGAGTTAAACTTTGTTTTACTCCCATGAGAGAAATATCAAGTTTCAGAGCCTTGTCTTGCAACAATATGTAAGCACAGAGCCACCATAGAAAAACCCCATTATGTTTGTCTATCCTCAGGATAGAGAAGCCACCAAAACAACTTTTATTTAAATACTGGGAATTTTAACGAGGATTACTTCCCCTCAAACTTGGTATATATAAAAAGTACTACTATTAAATAATGGTATCAATAATAGTGATAATTAAGGATTTGCCAACTCAGATAATAGAAAAATTCCATAACCAAAATAAATAACTAGTTATATCCATCAATGTGACGATTATAATTTATATAGTTGTGTTCATATTAAAAAACTATCATAAGATGTACGTACAATGGATAACCAAAATTGTTAATCCACAATCCAAACTTGACAATCACGAACAAGGGCATAATCTTAATTAAAAGATTCATGGCCTCCACAGGGTAAAAAAAGAGCAAAAATACAAAAACAAAGACATAAAGCGACATGCTCCTCAGCAACAACAACGTGTGGGATCTGAGACAGAAAACAACAATAAATTTATGTATATAAGTGTTAAGATCGTAGTCTTTGCATTTCTTGTGTATTAATTTATGTATGATTACAAATTTTGACCGTCAACTACGCTATCAGACAATTTCCACAATTTACTGTTATATTATTTATTGAGAAGAGGAAGAAGAAGAGGAAGAAAGAAAATCAAACTGCATGCAGTAGTTTTTTCCTTTTCATCCACCTCAAAGGCTGACTGGTAGAAATTCCCAAATTTTCACCCTCTTAAGACCTCAAAAACTAAGAAAACCAACTGGACCTAGATTCAAACATAGAGCAGGAAAAAGCTTTGGATTTGCATGCGGTTGAATGCAAAACCAGATTTAGATTCTGGAGCAGTGATGAAACATTAAAATAATAACTTTAAAATGGTACCAGAAAAATAAAAATAAAAACGTACCCTTTGGAGGCTAGGCTAGGCTAGGCTAGGCAAGAGCAGGTTACACCAAATATGAGGTTTGATTTGAGGAGCGTTAGAGAAGAAGAAAAAAACCTAGAAATCAATCTGTCTGGTTGAAATAAAAAGACATTGGAGAAATCGAAAAGGCAAGAGAAGAGCTAGGCTAGCTGTACTCTCTGCATTTACTATTACCATATTTGTATTAATTGCTCAATCAATGGATGGTATTTATTTCATGGTAAATCAAATAATATTTGCCTTCCAAATTAGTATACAAATTATTTATTTACTTGGTAACAAAGTCTTACTATATAAATCCGGATAAATTCATGCATGTAAAAACAATAAATATGACATGAAATCTATGTATTTCTTTTTTGTTTACAGTTTTGTTAAAGGACTACATTTACTATTACCATATTTGTATTAATTGCTCAATCAATGGATGGTATTTATTTCATGGTAAATCAAATAATATTTGCCTTACAAATTAATTAGTATACAAATTATTTATTTACTTGGTAACAAAATCTTACTATATAAATCCAGATAAATTCATGCATGTAAAAACAATAAATATGACATGAAATCTATGTATTTCTTTTTTGTTTACAGTTTTGTTAAAGGACTAAAACACCCTCAAAGTAGTTCTTTCATCATGCTCTCTCTGTGAGAGAGTTGAAAAGCAATCAGTTTTTTTTATATATAATATTTAATGGAGGAAAACAGAAGAAACAAATCTCTTCCTCTCTCTCTAGTTCCTTGGAAGAAAAAGTTCATGGAGAAAGAAACCTGTGAAGAAACAATTATAAATACTACTTAAATCATACTTATGAACAACATTAATGTAAATCACATCTCTAATACAGATAAGTCTAATCATCTCCATAACTGATATGATTCAACAAGCAAAAGAGGTAAAAGAGAAACATCTTCCTATCTTTAGGACCAACCCCTTCCTTCTTTCCTTCTTGTCGAACAGCAATATCACACACAAACATTTCTTTCACACATTCAACAAACACTTTCTTAACTAGCAGGATGTGCAGAGGTATTGCTGCCACTTTTGCCGTCTAACCCGGAGTCTCTTGCTGCTGAGGGAGCATAAACCTCTGCAGCTTCAGCCTTCTTCAACTCAAGATTTGTACCGGCCTCCAACCGCTTCGCTAGGGAGTCCTTTGCTGTGTCATAAGAAGCATGCAATCCAAAGAAAAAGTAGTAAACCAGGATGATCACAGTCCACACTGCAAACCTTATGAATGAGACATGATCGATTGACCCAAGTAGGAAAATGTTGATGGCAACTGATAGAGATGGCAACCACGGCACCAATGGCACCCCCCAAAGTTTAGGGTTCCTTGCTTGTGGGACAAGTATCCAAATCCCCAAAGTACCCAAGAACCAAAGAGGCGCGGTTACCACGTAGGCAGTCCACTTATCTGTTTTACTCCAATACACAGAGGTGGCAATTGAAGATCCAATTATGAGGACAAGGCAGGCAATGAACTTGTTCCTGTTGGCCTGAGTCGTGACGCCGCTAACATAGTAGCGGCGAACGAGAAGAGCAATTGCGACAAGGCTGAAGATGAACAATGTGGAGATGGAGAGAAGGTCGGCCAAAACGCCAAGGCTTGTGAAGAAGGCAATGACTGCTGTGGCTGCAAGCATGGTGACTGTGGCATTGACAGGGGTGCCAGTTTTGCCATCAACTTGGGCAAACCACGGAGGCACCATATGAGTTCTAGCAATGTGAGTGAGATAGCGAGCCTGGCCAACCGCCCCAACAAGCAACACACTTGTCATGCCTTTCAGAGCTCCCGCCGCAACGATGTACTTAGCCCATCCCATCCCAACAGCTTCAAACGCTACTGAAAATGGAGCTTGTTCGTCGATATCTCCATATGGCTGCATAAGGCATAAAGTCACTGCTAACAAGCAATAAACGAATGTGGTAATGATCATTGAGCCAACAAGGCCGATTGGGATGTCCTTGCCAGGATTCTTGGTTTCTTCAGCCATAGTTGAAACAGCATCAAATCCAACATAGGCGAAAAACAGAACAGCTGATGCCTGGAAGACGCCGCGGGGGCCAAAAGGGGCAAAGTCCTCGTAGTTCTTGGTATCGGCTTTGGTGAGGCCGGCTATGATAATGAAGAGAATGACAATGACATGAACAATTGAGGCAATGTAGTTGAGACGAGAAGAGCCCTTTGTGCTGAGGACAGCGAGGAAGCAGATACCAATAATGACAACAACAGCAATGGGATCAAGGTACTTATAGTCCTCCTTGAAACCGTCAGCAACAATCCGAAAATCGTTGGAGTCGTGGTTGCAGAGAGTGGCGAAGTAGGAGGTCCAGGAACGAGCAACAGCTGCACCACCTATGACATATTCAAGGAGGATGTTGCCTGCTGCAATGAAGGCCATAAAGTCCCCAAGCTCTACCCTTAGGTAGGCAAATGAGCCACCTGAAAAACCACATTCAGTCACATGAATTGCTCTTTTTCATGAAATGATTTAACTTAGGAGGGGGCCTAACTTGTAATCCACTCAAGTCGACAAAATTACTACTTAGTTCCTTGGAAATATGAGATTAGTTTATATATATGCATATATAGTTCTTGCTTCAAAATAATTAGCTAGGATCAATAACTATTCCTATGAACTGTTCATAGTTAAAGAAATGCTGCAAAGGCAATGAATGCATGTGGCATGTGTACTTGAATTCAATAAAGCTAATATATCATGCATAGAAAATTGAACAATGAAAGTAAAAAATAAATTTAATTGTTCATGGAATTTTGAGTTTTAAACTGGAACAAGGAGATTTGCACTTCCATAATAATACATTAATTGTGTGATCCTAGAGAGAATGATTTAAAATGCAACCCATACATTTTTTTTAGCTCTAAAATTGAACCAGCCTATAGAAAAGTCTAGACTATCTCAAGTTCAACCGAGAACAACTCTTTGATAGGGTGGTCAAATTATACGGTGGCTCACATATTGACATGACATGGTGTATAACTAAACAAGTCTCAACCCACAATATTTAAGTCAAAGTTCAAACCTTGGGTTTTCTTATCTCTGACGCAAAAACAGATTGAAAAAAACCCAAGTTTGAATCAAAGATGGTGGGACTGCCAGGTCATCATGTCATTATCAATGTGCCGGCCTTTACACTATTGACTTGGAATTTATAAGTAAACAGAAGATCAGGAATCAACGATGAATAATATATTAACGAAAAGGAAAATGCTAGGCTTAACACATTTTTCATACCACATTTGTAGTTTTGTACCACCTCTTTAATAGAAGTGGGCTCCATTGTATTGGTGGGCTCCACCTCTATTAGAGATGTGGTACAAATATGGTATGAAAAATGTGATAAACCTAGCATTACCCATATATTAATATGTGGACAGGCCAGGCCAAGCAACGTAACAAGCTATCCGCCACATCCTTATCCTTCAAGTCAATATATATACATAAAAGTCTTCTGGAATAGAAAGGAACTCCAACTTACTATAATATCCATCTATGATTCGATTTTACTTTAGACTTTTCTGATGCCCTCCTAGAAAGTTTTTCAGAATATTCAAAGAGATTCCTTAACGTAAGCATTTGGTATTGCATCTTCACCTAAAATCATTCGTTACTAATTTAATTTAATCTAATGATACTTATCTTCTTAATATTTAAAAAAATTAAAGTCATTAGTTTATTCTAATAATACTTCTCTTCTTAATATCAAAGAAGATTCAAAGTCGAGTATCAACGTCAATATCAATGTCTGAGAGATACTGTAGCTCCAAACTCCTCGTTCACAAAAATCTTATTTTTTTAAAAACCACTAACAATTTGCCAGCCGTTTACGGTTGAAACAAGACGATAACATGCAGACAAACCTCAATAAAATAAATGTAAATAAATTATTTTTAAAAAGTCGTTGAATATTTATTCATGAAGCTTTGTTAGCGTTGCAGTACGTACCTGCAACCGGAATCTCGACCGCGAACTCGGTGTAACAGAAAACCGAAAGCAAGGCGGAGACGCCTGAAACGACGTAGGATAAGACGACGGCGGGGCCGGCGTGCTTCTTCGCCTCGAGGCCAGTGAGCACGAATATTCCGGCGCCTATGACGGCGCCGATTCCGAACCAGATGAGGTCCCACCAGTTGAGCGTCTTCTTCATCTCGTTCTGGCTCTGCGCCTTCACCTCCACCAACTCCGTGCTGTCCAAGGACCGGGTGAAGACCCGGTCCTTAAACCGACCCGGAGTCTGGCTCAGCGCTTTTACGTAATTGCCCCAGCTCTGGAACGACTCCTCGGGGAGAAAATCGTACTTTTGGTAAGTGCACCCTCTCCTCCGTAGCCCCACATCTCCTGCGCCACTCGCCTCCGTACCGCCGGCCACCATCCTGTATTAATTAAATTCAAAATCCAAATTTTCAGAACAATCGAATTCGTTAAAGAAAATAAATAAATCACAAAAGATTCACTCAGAGGCTTCAATCAGTACCCTTATTTTCTGTTTGGTTGCTGAGAAAATGAAGAAGAGAAAATAGCTGAATTGTGGAGATCCAGAACGCACGTTCGAATTTGGCTTATATATACATACTAATATTAGTTTTCTAGAGAGAGATCTAGAAAGAGAGAGAACTTAGACGAAAATGAGGTTTTCTCCAGAGTGAGAGGTTGACGCGGGAAAACTTGGTTCACCATAGCAGGCAGTTATATACGCCCACTACATCTCATTACTCGTGTTGTTGAGAGCTGTTTACACAGTGGAGAAGCAACAACTGTGGACCGTTGATTTCAGTGTGAGATTCACCTCATCCAACGAGAGAGAGAGAGAGAGGGATTGAATCTGGACAAGATGTCATAATCGGACGGCTACGATTGCATTACTTAAAGAAGTTTTTATCCAGTTGCCACACGAATAGTGAGAGCCTCCGAAAATAGCGTCGTTTTTTTCGTCTGTATTATTAGTGTGAAAGTGTTTTAATTAGCGACTAATTAGTTTTAAGGAAAGAGGGACCCACCACTAAAAATGAATACTGTGAGTAGGATCCAGCTGGTGTAAAGTTTATTAGGTGGGCAGCTTTCATAATTAAAAAGAATCCCCATTATATGACAAATTTCATGCCATGTGTATCAGTGTGAAACACAATTATTCGACACAGAAAGATTGTATTCATACTGATGAAGACGACTTTTAATATAATAAAATCTACGTAAATTAGCGAATAATTATATCATACATGTCGATTCGTATTTCGTATAGTTGATGTGTATGACAATTTTTTTTTATAATAAAAAGGATTTATATGGAGAAAAAAGTTCTTCATTATCCATCGTTTACAATTATATATCTTATCACTTGATGAAAGAGATAAACACATAATTATACACGACCGATTAAATTTAAGGTTTTTCATTAGTATGAAATAGTTGTGCCCAGATAGGAGTGTTGTGTTTAACGATGTATGATTTGTAAAAAAGGGTGTTACGCATGGTAAGAGAAAGTAGTGGGAAGCTAAATTCTAGGAGGTAAAAAACATTACAAGTGCGAAAGCTCGTGGTCGTGATTGAGGCGCTGACCTGATAAAGCATACTACTACTACGCCAAGCGGTATGGGTGGGTTGGAAACATTGAAAGTGAGATTCCGTGTTCGAATTGAAAACCCTTTCTTTTCTCTTTTTCTCTAAATTCTGATAAATTTAGAAACGAATCATGCCTTTCTGTTTTATTGCGTTTTTTTTCTCTCAGTATTATACAAAATATAAGCATAGGATTTTATAATATGAATAAAACCAATTCACGTGTTATGTAATATGAATGTACCACAACATTAGTACGAATTATATTACATGACCGTATTTTAATACTACACAATAATTATTACTCGCGAATGACCGTATTTCAATACTACACAATAATTATTACTCGCGAATGAACGGCATTTTGCAATTTGCAATTAGTATACGAAAGAACTATGGGCCACTGAAAGTCAAAAGGTACCAAAGTTGTAACTACTAACTATTGCCGCTGACTTTGTAACCCGACTGTCGAAAAACCCAAGTGTCATTGTATTGACTTCAAGTCTTCAACATTGATCAGCCGGCAGAGATGGGCAAAGCACATCTTTGCAATTATGTGCTAACGTTTAAGATAAGGGAGGGGCAGAAGAAATAAACAAATTAGACTCTTGATCGTGCATTGTAAACTTCTAACTGAAAATTTCACATTCCTATAGGGGCTATATTTCAAAATTTTATGAGAACAAACTACGGGAACCAGTAAGTTGCTGCTCTAGCCAAGAACGATTGTAGAAAGAATGAATGTAACGTTTAAACTACAAAAGTAAAAATAGAAAAAGGAGACGAGATTAAAGAAAAAATAACAATATAAACAATGACCGAAAATGCGACAATTACCATCCAGGATGCAGTCCACTGATACTATGTGAATAGAGTTACAACATCTTTACGGTATCCTCTCACAATCAGTAGTCTTGGCACATTTTCCACCAACAAATCCATGTATTCCATGTAGAAGTATGCTGGGTGGTTGGCCGGAGGTGGAGGTAAGCTCACAAGAACAACTGCAGCCATTCTCGAGTATCTGAGTATTGTTGAATTCAGCTTCAGAGTAGTGTAAAGAAACTTCTCCACCTGCTGTTCATCCACGACAACCGGCTTCCCGTCAGCCATCAGCGGGGTTCCCTGTTTTTCTGATGCTGCCTTCATATCAGCCATGTAATTAGCTATACGCTGATGAGCACCAGAAAACGCGTCCACGGATTCATCTTGAGGAGACCCACTGTCCGCTTGCACATCCCATGATTTCATTGTTACAACAATCACTTCGGCATGCATCCGAAGATCATACAGAAACTTCTTCACATCAGCCTTGAGCCCCTCTGCATCAGTATCCTCTTCCGCAATGCAGAAAACCTGGATTTTACAACTCTCAAAGCTTTCCTTAGTGAGGAGGAGTTGAGAGAGAAGAAGCATGAGACCACCATCTCTCACTATCCAATACAAATCGATGGTACCATACTGCCTCTGATACTCATTGGGCCATTCGTCAAGACCCTTGACAATAACAACCGCCTTGTTTGCAACAATGCAATCATTAATTATTTCAACAAAGGTGGCTGGAATTTCAGTTAAGTTTTCACGACGCCATATTTCGGGATACCGCATCACCACAATGTTTGGCTTCAGATTTCCAAGACCCATTGTCTGGACAATGCCACGGAAACCTTCGGACATACTGGGGGCCACAACAATCTCAGCTACACCTTCACAATTCTTGTAGTCAAGGTAGGTAGCAAGCTGCTTACATGCAGCCTTGGCATCTTCAGCACATTCACGGTAGTCACCATCTAGAATAGAAAAAAAGATGGACATTCCCCTGCCCTTCTTCTTCATACAGTTGGCAAAGTCAGCAAGTTTGGGATGGCAAGGTACATTTTCTGGCAGCTTCCCCCAAGGCCGGCAGAATATCAGGGGAATGGGATACCAATTCTTCGGGTGCACTTGGTTTGCTGCATGCATAGTGAAAAGTTAAGTAAGAAAAAGCTAAATATGTTCGCAGACAAGCACAAACCACAAGCATGCAATTCCTTGAAAAGAAAAATGAAGTGAAAAGGGATATTATTATCCCCCGGCCACCACAGCACATACTTTGGGCATATTCAAGGGACAACAAATTGAGCATTTTCAATCACTAATAAAGAGCATTATGTATTATATGGTGTAATATTTTCAGATACACGCACCTCCTAGCGATCGAAGACTGCGGAGAGCTAGTTGGAAATATGCACTCTTGAAACCATCACCCCAGTCCCCAGCCTTTCCTTTGATGCTCACATAATAATATATAAGGCTAGCCAGGGCTAGGGACACGACAGTGAATGACCAGGAGATCAAGAACATTATCACTGCATGCAGAAAAAACACAGAAGGTTAATATAATCTTCAAATGAAATCAAACTTGAACTGCTTACACGCATGTATCAATACAACAACCCAGTATGGCAGTAATAGAATCACGCCACTGGCAAGTGCAATGAAATTCATCAATTTTGAAATCCTCTTCCCCACCCCAAAATAAATTCAAATTTTTTGTAAGGCACAATTATCATTTCCCTGTAACATGTGAGTCCTGTTGAATCCTTCAAACAAATTCCTAAAATGCTCAAAACTCTCTTCTTTAGGATCCATCATTTAAACAATCCTAACCGTGACGAGTAATAGGATCCATCTTTGTGACAACCGCAATAGTTAGGTTAGGTAGGCTGAAAATCTTTAAATAATAAAAGCTGCTTTCAATCACATTCTCCAAATATTCTTTTCAAGCACAAACTAGTACCTACATTCCAGGAGCTGACTTCTCCTACCTATTTTCACTGCCTTTCTTAACAAAATTGTCTATAGCGGGCAAAAGCACAAAGTACAAAATAAATACAAGAGGAAGCATACCTATACAAAGTAAGGCTCCAAGAAGAGAGAGGCTCCAGTGGTGAAATTTCCACCGAGGACGCCAGCTGGGAGCATCTAGAAGATCCAGAAGGAAGCAAGATAAGTTCACACCCGCATAACACAGAAGGAAAAACATAGTTATAGTTGGCGTGATAAGATCCAGGTTCCCAATTACGACACACCCGATACAGAGGAGCGCAGTAAATAAGGTAGCGATGTTAGGCTCACTCCCATCTGAAACCTTGAAGTAGTTAAGAACAGGTAAAATATCATCATTGGCTATTGCTGCAAGCAGACGGGGGGCACCAGTCAGGCTTTGAAGAGCAGCACCCAAGGTTGATAGAATTATTCCAATGTAAATGAATGCTGGGAAAGGCCAAGCTATTGTAGCAGTAAGTAGCCTGCACAGAAACTCCAGTTTCAGCAATGAAACCATGAAAAAAGGACATTAATTTGCTAATGCAAGATTATGTTTAAGACGTATGTAGGCAAATAACTATCTAAACAGATACTCAAACTTTTAGAACTCAATTTGACCACAATTTATATAATACACGAAATAAGGCCCCAAACTAGTTAGAGATTGATGAGCAAAACATGGCTATAGAAAAAAAAATATATATATGGTTCCAAGACTTAGATTCCACATAATTGGACACAAGTGTTCATTGATGCACACAAATGAATAACAGAGGCAAAGTAAAATATTACACAACATAAGGGAATTTTTGAAATAAACATAATGGGAAAGAACAAGTAGAAATATAAGTTAGCGCCCCAAGAGGGGCAACTATTACAATATATGCATACCTATCAGTCAAAAGCTTCTGTCTGCTTGCAAGGGCTCCAAATAATAACACAGAGACCAGATACATTGCAGTAGTTGAAAGAGTCGCAGCCAGTGTTCCAATAGGAATTGAACGCTGAGTATCTCTCAGTGACGCTGACCGATTTGAACCTGCCATAATTCCTGTCACAGCAGGGAAAAAGAGGCCGACCATTGCACTGGAAACAAAAATTAACAGCATAGTTAGAAAACAATAGAAAAAGTAATCTCCATCCTAAACCCATAGCTAAAATGACTTCATGCTTGGGAGGAATAGCTTGTTTTTAAACATGACACACTTTTAACAATTCAGAAATAAACAAATGCTTTCAAGTCAAAAAAAGGGGTCAGTAGCAAATGATTTTGTGTGCGTATTTACAGAAAGAGAAATGGAGAAAGGCATATCCAAAGAGGCAACTTGACGAATGAAAAAT